TTCACGCTGTCTGGGAATGGAGGGTAGTTGTAGAGTAGCTGAAGGCCAGCTGAACTGTTCCCTAAAGTGTTCCGCCCATCGTTCTAAACGTCTGGACTGGGAATAGATGAGAGTATCATCTTTTTCCGATATAATCTCACTTACACTTGACTTATTAATTCCAGTTTCTTTTATTAGTCTGTAAAGTTGTCTTGTGTTCCCTATAGTCGCCGCCTTTTCCATCTCTTTTGCTTGCGTTGCCCACCACTGCTCACGGTCGTTTCTTAAACTTTTTCTTAACCTAGATCTGATTTGTTGTCGCTCTTCATCATGTTCGGAACCTGATGGAACGAGTTTGCGAGAATCCATCAGTGTGATAGACTTTGAAGAAATCCACTGGCCCTTTGAAACTCTGTGGTTTAAGTTGCTAATAGAAGTCACTGCTGCTTCCACAGCTGCTTGTATGTCTTTCCAAGCAACATCTGGGTCAGCCTCGTCTTCAGAACTACCTAAGTGTGAACCCAGTTGTTCTTGGAACCTATTTTTGGTTTTCTCGTTACTCAATTCAGTTCTAATTGGTCTTTTTAATGTGGCTTTTTTGCGTCCGGTGAGGCGCAAGCAGATGCGTGCCCGTATTAGGGCGTGGTCGAAGTCCAAGCAGGTACTCCAGAATGAGCGACAATCTTCTACCGACCCTCTCCAACGATGACTGATGGCAATATGGTCTATTTGAGTCCATCGTTGGTTTGGTGTAGGGGGTCGCCATGTTAGACGATGTCTCTCTTTATGCTTAAAATTTGTTTGCTAAAAATAAGCGATTGTCTGAACACAGTTGCAGCAGACGATCACCATTATGTGTTCGCTGTGCCGGAATGCTAAAATATCCACCTAAATGCCTTTTTGTTTGGTTTAAGCTACCTATCTGAGCATTAAAGTCACCCCCTACGAGTACTATGTCTGAGCGTTTAGCTTTCTGAAGAAGTTCAGAAAGCTTTCTGTAAAATTCATCCTTCACTTCATCTGAGCTGCAGTCAGTGGGAGCGTAGGCAGAAACGACAAAAAGGCAACGACGTGTGTCCCTATCCTTCCGAGTTCTTACGGAGCCATTTAGCCGAACAGCACATGGACGACTGTTGATGGGGATCCACTCTAGCAGTGCTTGTTCCGCCCTCATGCTTAGTGCTATGCCTACACTTGCCAGTCCACGAGAACTGGCCATCGGGTCACCAGATACACGTAGGGTGTATCTCGTTGGCTCTCCGTTTTGCCGAGGTGAGGTCAAGTGAATGACCACACTGGAATCCTGTATGCGTGTTTCAGAGACAGCATACATCGATGGAAAGAGACTCTAGGGTTTTAGCCAAGGAAGCCTGCTGACCGATTTGACATACGTACGTTGAAAGCTCCAATGTGTAGTTTGGAGCGAGGTTTCAGTAGACCTGGGACAGAGTTTTGAGCACTAGAATCGTTGGCTATGGTGACACTTGAGGAGGAAGCCGAAGGAGGAAGTTTAGGGTTGAAAGTCGATGTAGGAGGAATAATAGGAATTGAAGAGGAAGGTTGATTATGAATACAATGGCCTTGTGTGCTGTTAGAGGTATGAGGGCGGTTATCACTTCCCGGTTGCCCACACCGTGGAAGGGTTCTTCTGGAGGTACCTGAAAAGGAAATTGGATTAGATCGATGTTTGTTGTCTATCCGAGACCAGTATTCAAGACTCTGGTGAAGTACTTCAAATTCGCTCTCCATCTGTCGCTTCAAAAAGCATGTTTTACGTGCGTTTATCCGGGGACCCTGTGGCATCTTCGTCTGGTCTTGCTGGCGTTGGTGTCGCACTAAGCTCTGGAGCTGAAGCAGCATTAATCGACTGGATCCCCATTAACAGTCGGTTATGTGCTGGTAGATTAGAAAATTCCATCAAAGTGAGAAGAAATCGACGTGAGAAACGATGTCTTTTCGTCATCTCCACCTATGCCCCAACAGATTGCAGCCCGGATGCAATCAAGGATGAATTTTACCACCAGTTAACTGTTCCTCTTCAGAAAGTGCGTTTGACAGATGTTGTAGTACTAGCCAAAGACTTGAATGCTCAGGTTGGGCGTCTAGGCACAGAAGAGAGTCGCTTAGGTGGCTGATGGGGACTTGTTAGTCGCGGGACAGATAACGGGGACCGGAAGCTCTTCCAACTCATCTAAGCCACTGGCATCAAGAAGTCTGTTGTGAGCGAAACAATCTGCGAGGATGACGGAACGCCAATCACTAACATCCATCGACGTCTTGGACGATAGGCACAATTTTCCGAAGTACAGTTCAACTGGCCTTCTGCTCCGGCAACATCGGTCAGACTGTCCTGCCCTCCATGACTCGTGACGACTGATCCACTAAATGAGGAAGTCCGCAAGGAACTTCAACTTTTGAAGAGTTACAAATCACCTGACCGATATGACTTACCTCCGGCTCTTTTTAAAGATGGTGGTGACTTTGTGACTAAGGAACTGACTGTGTTGTTCACAAATGTCTGGGAGCTAGAGAGTGTGCCAGCGTCATGGAATGAGGCAATAGTTGTCCTTATCTTTAAAAAGGATCCATGTCGTTCCTGTAACAACTATCGGGGGATAAGTCTACTCCCGATTGCGTCCAAGCTATTGGCTTCCGTCATACTTCGTAGGTTGTTCAAAACTCGAGAAAGATTGACTCGCGAGGAGCAGGCTGGGTTTCATTCTGGTCAAGGATGTATTGATCATATCTTCACCCTCCACCAAATGTTAGAACATCGCCATAATTATCAAAGACCAACAATCGTAGTGTTTCTTGACATCAGGGCTGCCTTCGATTCGTTGGATAGGACTGTTCTCTGGGATTGTCTATTGAAGAAGGGTGTGTCTGAGAAGTTTATTAACATCCTAAAAGCCCTATATGCAAACACCTCAGGCAGAGTGGGGGAATACAACCACCTCTCTCAATTGTTTCATTCGAGCAGTGGGGTTAGACAGGGTTTCCCAATCTCACCATTCCCTTTCAACTTTACCATCAATGACATTCTGGAAACAGCTCTGACGGATGCAAGTAATGGCGGTGTGGATCTGTTGCCTGGAGAAAGACTTCTCCACCTTGAGCATGCGGATGATATTGTCTTACTATGCGATAATGCTCAAGGCATGCAATCCGCAATTAATCAGTTGGCAATCAGTGTCCGTAGGTATGGTGTGTGCTGTGCACCTTCGAAGTGCAAAGTACTTCTACAAGACTGGTAGGATTCTAACCCTGTACTCACCCTGAATGGTGAGCAGATAGAAGTAGTCGAGAAGTTCATGTATCTGGGTAGCTTCATAAGTGCTGGTGGTGGCGTGAGTGATGAGATCAATGCACGTATAGTGAAATTCAGAGCGGCTTATGCCGATCTGGACCATCTTTGGAGCCTTCGTGATGTTAGTCTGGATGTAAAAGGTCGGATCTACGGCGCGCCGGTGAGAGCAGTTTTGCTCTATGTTTGTGAAAGCTAGCCTCTCCGAGTTGAGGACGTTAGACAACTCTCTGTGTCCGATGATCTTTGTCTCCGAAGGATTGCTCACATCCAGTGGCAACACTATGTTAGTAATGTAGAGGTTCGGCATCGTGTGTCCGGGCACAGAGAAGATGATGCAATTGGTGTCACCATCTTGAAACACCGACTCCGGTAGCTTGGACACGTTCTACGAATGTCGTCCCTGAGAATCCCACGTCATGCATTATTTGCCGACTCTGAGACTGGTTGGAAAAAGCGGAGAGGTGGTCTTCTTCATAAAAAAATGGTTGTTTTTTCCTTAACTGAAAAATTCTTCTGATTATACTTTTCCGTTTCTCCCATTATTATTACTAATACTAATCTGTTCGTTATTGTTCTTTTTTTACGCTCTTACCTTTTTCTCTCTTCGAATTCTGATTGTTTTGTGTGGCGCATATATATTTGGTGTCCTCTTTTACCAATATTTATGTGCTCAAATAAATAATAAATAAATAATATTCTAACACATCGAATAATTAGACCCATTAAAACGACTCTGGATGATGACAAACTACACATAACTTCCTCAAGGAAGCTAATACTGATACAGTAAATTAGGGATAAGATACCGACGATAGGCTTAACTATGTGTTTATCAATTCAACTGCTCCGGTGGAGCCAATTACATCGCCCGCACTCAAAAGTCTTCATCCTTACGCGCTTGCAAACACAAACCTGAATGGTATAGAAAAGGTTTCACTAAATCTACTAACAATGTTATTCTTTCCCACTTAATCGACCAAGGACAACATTCAAGTTGAAGATGGCTACTGAGTTATATATCAAGTCCCTAGTAATCTGAAAACAGATGCAAAATTACGCTTACCACATATTGCTGAAGCATTTGATAGCAATCCAAATAGACATATGTCTTCAAAAATGTTACACAAAACCTGTCTGTTTAGCTTGACCCACATTAGGGTCGTATCATCATTAGTTTCGACTGTATCCTCCCTTCATTGAATTTGTAACTGTAGAGACCGATAAGTTATTGAAAACGATCGTTAGTCTAAGATTATTTAATGGTTTATTTCAGACGTGTCTAGCCTTTACCTAAAAAGTCAGCACAATGTTACAAATGAGCAAGATTTGTGCTCACGAATATCACATAAATGGGTTTTAAAATTACATGCATACTCGGCTTTCTGTTTTCCACAGTTTAAAGTGTGACGTACGATGAGCCCAGCTTGCCAAAATGAAGACGGAAGCTGCTATACTAAAAGTCCTAATATAATGAAAATATTTGATGAACAGCCATGCCGCTTAACTCCAGATACTATACCAAAAACATTAAAAAAGTCAGTACTTAGATCTACATAGTACAGTGTATTAACTCCTTGTTTGGTCCCCATAAGAACACTCTCTTGACTACATAGGCTGGTTATTTGGGTTAATAACTGTTATCATTAACTGCTTATTTTGAAGACGAATAGCAAATCAAATATACCAACAAATAAGTGTTTGTACATGAACTTACGGTGTCATTATATCCCTGATTAATCCCCAGATATAAGGAATGTGGCTTGTGCTTTGAAGTGGACCATGACGTTGATTTCACAGAATCTTCTAAACTAAGACCTCGAATGAGAGGAGGGACGTATCCTGGAGGTATAGTTGAAGTGTTTTTAACATTAGCTCGTAAATCACAACTGCAAACATTCTTATCAGGAGTAAGAAAATCCATGTCTAGAAATATGTACGATCTATATATTAGAGGATATGAGTAATAAGTGCTCCAGAATCATCAGATTGACTCCATAGTACCAAAATCCTACTACTCTTCACCTTCACGATATATATGTTATAGGGTAGTAAAACAACATTCAGTCTTCAGTCTTCAGTAATAAAGATAGGAGGTCTTTCGACATATATTAATCCTTGCAGTTTGTAATACTGTGAAATTCCAATCTCGTTTTGAATATGTTAACAGACGGTGATGATGTTACGTGTTCCGGTAGAGAATTCCAGTAATTCACTACTCAGTGCGAGAAACGGAACTCCAGACGTAAAGTATTTGATCTCGGTTTTTGAACTTTCTTTGAATGCCCTCTCAGATGATCGGTTCTAGACAGAACCAGAAGATAAGACATGTTAATACCAAGGTCATCGTTCAGTATACGATAACCAGTATTAGATCACACCGTATTCTACGGTAAGATAATGGAACTAAGTTGAAGTGTCTCAGTCTGTCTTCATAAGATAGGCCACGTAGACCTTGTACCATCTTAGTAGCACGTCGTTGGACTCTTTCTAGCATATATGCTTCATACTTTAAACAAGGACACGCTGCTTGAATCCCGTATTCCAAATGTGGTCGCACATAAATCGGGTATATTAATCTAAACATTTCATCATCTAAATACTGGAAAGATCTGCGAATGGACCATAATACCCTATAGCGTTTTGCAGCAGCAGCCTTACAGTGACTAGTGGTTTTGAAAACATTGCTTAATATGACTCCTAAATCTTTATAGATTCTTACTTTGGGTAGCATGAATCCACATATTGTATTGTGACACGATTCATCATAGTTAGTTATTTGCATCGCTACGCTCTTATTAGGATTTATTTCTAGTGACCACCTGTTCAACCACTTCACAAATAAACTAAGATCATTCTGTGATACTATCTTATCCGACTTACTGTGTATGGGTCTCCAAATCTTCATGTCATCAGCGAAGAGTAGAACGGATGATTTTGTTACAGTTGGCAATTCATTTTCATAAATTAAAAAGAGAAGAGGAACTAGGATTGTACCTTGAGGAACCCCACTTTTTACAGGTACCCACGAGGAGAGAGCCCCAGTAACCCTTACTCTTTGTCTCCTGTCATGGAGAAAGTTACTTATCCAATCGACGACTGTATAATGGATTCCAAAACGTTCTAGTTTGAATTTAAGACCACAGTGGGAAACCCTACCAAAAGCTTATCTTATATCTATGACAATCACATCCACAGGAGCATTTCGATCCTTTACCGCAGCCCAATCTTCTCGTGCAATGAGAAGATTTGTCAAGCAAGATAGGCCTTTCCGAAAACTATAGTTTATAACTGCTATCCGGATGAATTTCTCCATCAGTTTTACAACTGCACTAGTTAGGCTAACGGGTCTATAGTTACAAACTCTATCCCTACTCCCAGCCTTATACACCGGACTTATTATGGCGTCTTTCCAGTCTCTAGGAAGTCTGGACTGTCTCAGAGACATGTCGAATAATATCTCTAATGGTTCAGCAATTTCATCTGATATGGCTTTCATAATCCTAGGATGAATATCGTCAGGACCATTGGACTTACCAGGTTTGAGATGCTGGAGTAGCCTTAAAACAGTATCTTTCTCAATGACTACAGGATCCATCAGCGAGCCGTCACGGTCACGACGAATCATTGGTCATTCCTCATTACCGATAGAAAACACTTTACTAAAGTATTCCGATAAAGCTTCAGCTTTTTCGGCATCATTCTCTGCTAAGATTAACGGATTATCTCGTATGAAAAGTGATGGAATTCCATCGCTTCTTAGAGTTCGCCTTTCTATATACGAGAATAACTGCTTCAGACTATATCTAGAATCCCTAACCAAATGTTTTTCGTATGATAGTATAGCCTTGTTTATTAACGCTTTACAGGCATTACTAATCTTACAATAACTGGATCTGTTTTGTTCTGAGTCAGTAGAGATGAACATATTCCACTGATTCTTCCTTTTTCTAAGGCATTTCCTGACAGTTTTAGTTATCCATGGTGGACTATTATTCGGTCTTCGCGGTACCAGGTATGGTATGAACGGGGACGTAACTAGTCTAAATTTACCTTTGAATACAGACCATGCTTCTTCAACTGGTATGCTAGTATCTACTAACCAATTTGTCTTAGCAGCACATTACTGAATGGCTGATATGTTAGCTTTCCATAGATTTGTGCGAGATGTAACATGATCGTATAACATATCTCTAGCTCTAAACGCGAGTGACAAAAGAGCGTGATCGCTGTTCACTAACGGTGGAAGAATATTTAAGTCGATAATATCCTCAGTCTCATGAGTGATTACCAAGTCCAGCAGAGAAGAACCCTGGGTAACACCAAAACGTGTGGGTTGGGATACTTGCTGCACTAGTGCATGCTCCATTATTGTTATCAAGAACCTACTATCAAAGGAGCTTATAGATCCTTTCTTGGTCATCTCAGTCCAACTAATATCAGGTGCACTAAAGTCTCCTATTATCAAGCATCTAGTATTTTCACTCCAAAGATGAATGTGCTCTAAAATAGAGTCATCAGCTAAACAGATTGGGCTGCGATAGATGACACCTAGCATAAATGTACTACATCCTATTGCCAACTTACAGCTAATGACTTTACAAGTACCGCTATCATGGTATTTGCTAGTAGAGGAGCGGATATTTATGCTATTGGCTATATATAACAGGACGCCGCCTCCTTAACTACATCTATGTCTATCACTCCTGATGTAATGGTATCCGGATAATTCTGGAGTAATGTCTAAGTTATGGACTAACCAAGTGCGTGCTCCATTATTGTTATCAGGAACCTACTTTCAAAGAAGTTTATAGATCCTTCAGTGGTCATATCAGTCCAACTAATATCAGGTGCATTAAAGTCTCCTATTATCAAACCTCTGGTATCTTCACTCCAATCTCACTTCAATCTTTATTGTCTGTGTGATGAGTTTGTGCACTTGCTTCGTGTTGTTTTTAGGTAGTTTAGGATCTTTGGTAAATTCTAGTGGGTGGCGGTTTTGCTTTATCACCGCACGGTTATAATCAGTGTTGTAATCATTTTTTTAGTATATTTTGGTATTTTGATTGAATAGATTTGTCGCGGGATAGATACGTTTCTTGATGCCAACAGACAGGAAGTTGATTGGTAACAATATGATAAATAAAAAAGAAAAATTTAAATGCCAAGAGATAAAAACTAACAAGTTATTTGATCGGCGATGCAGTCTGTGAGAAGACCGAAACGTGAAAACAAAAGAGGAAATGAAGTTGATGATATTCAAGACACTTTTAACTTAATTCTGTGCGTTAGTGATAACAGTGGTGAATTACGAGACATCCATCAAACACAAATGGTCGAAGCGGCAGATGGAAATCAATGGGGTGTATATGTATTCATGAAGCCGCCTCTTGTAGCTAACCGTTGTGGGCGCTGAGTTCGTTTCGTCTAATGAAGCGTTACATGTTGAGAATACTGTTATTGCAAAAAGTGAGAGCATACTCGTTTTTCAATCTCTCACACAGATTTATTGTAGTTGGCTAGCTCCCAAACCCTCTCTAGTTAAAAGTGAAACGTAAATTAAAATACTTTTGTTGCTTTGAATAATATGTCCAGGAATTAATTGTGCTATACCAATGATGAGCTTGTACAAATCAGAAGGTTTCTTAGTAATTGCTTCCTATTACGCTGTCGCCAATTTGAAACCAAAACAGGGTGATTGATTAAAATACAGTTCTAAAATTCTTTAAGAACGTAGATGTACATTATTAATTTAAGAAACATTACCACACAGTTACTTAACTTATAATTGTTCAATCAGTAGTCAAGTCTAAATTACACTAAATATACATGTTAATGAATTGTGTATTATGATTGATGAAATTGACGAAACTATTAACAAACTCGGTCAACAAGTTGACTCATAATTATCATTCAACAGTGTTGTTTTCTCGTAATCTCATACCCTTTCATATGATTTCAGTATGTGCTGAATTTTCCATCTGGTTAAACCAAGATCCAAAATTTCACGAGTATCCCTTACTTCTGTCTGAAGATCTACTTACCAGGTTGAAACGATGGTAGGTTTAAAGTCAGACGTGTTAGGAGTCGATTTACAAAGTTCAGTGACTTATGAGTGTAAATATTTTCTCACTTTCCATACACACATACCCGACTGTCCTATAGACCTATGACTACAAACTTCATATTCCAATAAATTACGGCAACCATTTTGCAAGGTATTACAGGAGCGGCAGTTTATTTGGATGATACCACAACCATGAGAATAAGCAGAACATACTCGCAAAACAGGTTGATCAGGCTCTATCACTGACAGCTGAAAATGGCATTCGTAATGACGACGAAAAGTGTGACGTTAATATAACGCGGGTATGAGAGCTCGGCTTCATAATTAATAAAGACGAATGGCGACCAGACCCAAAAATACTGAAGCAACGAAAACTATTCCTTGGCCAAAGGCTAATCTTGCTCTACCAACTTTTTTGGGACTGTTTAGCTATCACGAACAGTTATTTTTAAATTCATTTTGTTTGTGCTTCGCTGAACTATTTATAAGTTTGTTATTGGTCCGCGGACTATGAAGCAGCTAGAAAATTAAGCATCTCCCAGACTTTAATCTCGAACTTATGCATAATGACTCTCCTTGATCTATTGTCACTGTTTCAAATACGTAGGGAGATAACTTCAATCCACCCATGTCTGTAAGACAGAATTACAACTCCTTATCATCAAGCGGGATGTCACAAACCAATGGTACTAATGCTGATTTAGCATGCAACTTATCTCTTTAAATGGTGTTTGCGACGTTGATTCAATTTCACTTCCTGCCGAGTAATCCTAATGAAATTAAAACTAAGCATTACGCTAAAAACGAAGTCATTTCGTTACCCTATAAAATCAAAAAAAACCAAAATGAACTGAAGT